CCTTCCAATCTATTATGATTGGGTGATCAAATTTTTGTTGGCTCCTAGCAACCATACAAACAGATCTTTCTTTTACATCTTAATTGCAATCTAATATACATTTACTTACAGGGTGTTCATTGCAATTTTTAATTGTTTCCATCCCCCTCTTTTTTCACTGCAGTTTCTAAAATTAATCCCTGGACTTGGTTAAGTCCTTCTCTTTGCTTTGTTTTTGCTTTTCTGTTGCCGATTTTTTCCAAGTTAAAGAGGAGGGGGAAAAAAGGAAAAAAAAATAACTCTTTTCTGAGGCTTCTTGGTCATGCTTCTTTATACTTTGTCCCATTACTCATCTCCTGAACTGTCCTTCCAACATAGCTCCTTTTCTTCATTGTTCAGTCCTTTCACCAGCCAGCCTACTCTTCAAGTCTTCCTTCTCAATTCTTCTGGGTGAGGTCTTCCATCACACATTCCACCTTCTTCTGATTATCCTTTCTTCTTTCCTTCAGCATTTGCAGATGACCTGTTCTGTGATCCAGGTGCATCTTCAGCCTAGAAAGAAACTCAAAAAACCAGATGTGCTTGCTTGCAGGTGTCCTAATTAAACCAAGAGCCTTCTCATATGCTGTGTGAGATCTTCCATGCAGTTGCATGAATCCAACTCTGTCATAAAGTACAACATCATCTTATTCATAGCAGCAGACTCTACCACAGGGATCCTACAATAGTGGCCAAAATTGGGGAAGCCTTTTGGGAAAAGTGTATTTTTGAGATTTGATGGCTAATAACACCACTTTTTTTTTGGAGTAGTACCATAAAATTATATATCAATGGAAAGATAATCTAATCAAGAATGTAATGCAACATAGTTTGTTCAATTATCTGTACTGTATTCTATGAAAAGTTATAGCCAAATAACCAGAAAAAGGAAGCACAACTTGCTTAGGTTGATATCAGGTAGCTTTCCTTCATCTGATTGTAGCCAATGAGCATGAGTGCTTAGAGAGCCAATCAGGTGTCATTTTGTTTTGGCAATGAGCCTATCAGATCACAGTAGGATTCAGTTATTGATGTCATGTATTGAAGCTGAGAGGAGGACATTTGTCAGTGTGTTATGTGATTGCTATCAAGTTGGTTGGGTTTTTTTGCGTTCTTTCATTTAGTGAGCTTGTAAAACGTAATGAAATTAAAGTAATGGTGCAAAGAGTTGACTGGTTGCCCAAAAAGCGATATAAAATAGTATTATTGTGAACAAGGCTATAGTTATAAAGAAATTGGAAAATTGGTGGAAACTTAACCAAAGGTGGCATTTCTATTCCCAAAAGATTTCCACAATTTTGCCCACTACTATATGTTGCTTCTCACCAGACTATCAGCTCTAACTAGCATAGCTAATATTCAGAGATGATGGGAACTGAAGTCTATCACAGATTCTGATGGGCTAGATGTTATATAACTTCATCTATAAAGAGAGGCTGCTGAAGCCACAGATGGAAGTAAGGCTTTTCTGTGGACTGCTGTCTTTTCAAATAGCAGCCCAAAGAAAAAGAGGCCACTAAAATACAAACTTGCTTTGCTTATATTACATACTTCAGTAGGTTTATTTACCTCTGTGTCTTGAAGTTCTAGTTCCTTTTAAACATCTTCTGGTGAAGAAACATACAAAACATAGTTTTTCAGATGGTGTTGTTATTAGTTGCAAAGTCGCGCCCCATGGACCCATCGCGCCCCATGGACAACCTTCCTCCAGGCCTTCCTGTCCTCTACCATCTTCTGGAATCCATTTAAGTTCACGCCTACTGCTTCAGTGACTCCATCCAGCTACCTCATTCTCTGTCATCCCATTCTTCTATTGCTCTCAATCTTTCTCAGCATTAGGCCCTTCTCCAGTGAGTCCTTCCTTCTCATTAAGTGGCCAAAGTACTTGAGTTTCAACTTCAAGATCTGGCCTTCTAAAGAGCAGTCAGGGTTGATCTCCTCTGGGACTGACCGGTTTGATCGCCTTGCAGTCCAGGGGACTCGCAGGAGTCTTCTCCAGCACCATAGTTCAAATACGTTATCTATTATCAAATACATTTATCTAGTTTTCATAGTCCATTTCTCGAGATTGCTTGCTGTCCCAGTGGGTGCTTCCAAACAGTAAGAAGGTGGATGGTAATTTATCAGTTTAGTTACGGTGGGTTATGAACTTCTCCCCTTCATCTCTTTTCTCTTTTTCTCTCTTTCTTTCTCTCATCAACAGATTCTCCATTTTTGCAGGAAAATGCAAGATAAACAGTGATATCTGAACTGTATCCAAATAGGCACATTCTCAATAAATACCTGTCTCACAAAAGATATCTGAGTTATGCCAACTTAATTGTTATAGCTGTTCTCCATGCAGAGATCAGCCATTTTTTTTTTCTTGTTAAGGCATCATCCTGTGTAGCTGGTTGGGAATTGTTAGAGTTATCCAGAGGCATGAGCAAAGCTTCCCCTCTCTATGTTGGGGAGCAGAGGGTGAGTTTATGGAGAAAAGGGCAATTTGCAACGAAGAACAGTGGGGCTTTCTTCTGTGCTGCAAAGAATGCTGGGAACTGTAGTTTGATCAGTAGGCTGGCTATTCTTCATTTGATATCAGAGGCAAGCTAATATCTGCTATTGTGTAAGTAATAAAATAATGGGGCTCCATAGAATGAGTTTAGAAGGGATATACTGTAATCTCTATCCTCTATTCACATTTTTGGAGGAACAATCAGCAGTTAATTGGACACTTTCAGAGAAGTAGCTGGTGCTCATATATAATTTAATATCAACGAAGGGATAGGAGGGATTATGCTGAGTTGCACCTGAGAGCATTTCCATTCCAGACATCTACTTCAACAATCCTTTTATCTTTGGAGCAAGTTATAATTAAATCCCAATATTCCGTTCAATCTCTTGAGCCTGATTCCTGGAGGTAAAGAAATTTAGGGATGACCTCGGGGGAAGTTATGAAAGAACTGTTAAGAAGAAAGCTGCAAAATCAATCAGATCTTACTCTCAGTCATGGGCCAGCCTAAAACTTGCAGAAAACTTTACACAGTCCAGAAACTGAAGCAAGCCTGAGAAAGAAACTCAAAAAAAAAAAAAAAAAAAAAAAACCCCTGCCTTGATTTTGTTTAGTATAAGATGGGACAGAGAGACTTTTGGACAGGCTTTCAAAACTGATGCCAGCCCTACAAGGCAGATGCCACAGAAATCTCTGGAGTTCTCCTTTATTATTGTAGGGTACATTACATCTTACAATAAACAAAATCAAGGAGGCATCATTTTCAGTTTCTTTCTCTTATTTCTTTCTGTCTTTGTACTGGGTAATCTTTCTGCATGTCCTTTAATCCAAAGCAATTTCTACATTCTTTTACTTTGGATCAAGTAATTCCAGACATTATTTTGGGATGTACTATCTTCTTCCTTTTTATTATTGAATCTTGACTGCTGTTTTACCTTACAGAAAACATTCACCTTTTTTGAGCACCACCCTGAGATAGGAGGCTCAGTCTCTGTGTTGTGAATATGCTGTTAAAAGAGACATAATACCAAGATCACATCTGCTAATTCATGTTAATTTAATTAACATGAACAGTATGTATCTAAAGCTTCTTTTTAGTTGGCTGAGCCAGACCAAATCTTTGCTCGTGATCTGTCGGAGGAACACAGTGGAAGAACATAAAACAATTATTGGATGCAATTAGGCCTTGTAGGCGGGGGGGGGGAGAATGTAAAGAGACTATTTTGGTTGCTTGCTGTTTTAAAACCATGTTATTTTCCATTAATGTCACCATGCCTGGGGATCCAGTGGTAGTACGGAGCCTGTGAGTTGGTTATATTGATAGCAATTGCATGGATTGTACTCTCCCAGAAATGAGATTTTATGGTTTTAACTGTTTTAATTGGCTTTGGATTGCTTTTTATTTTAATTGTTTATTGTTTTGTTATTTAATTGTGTGAACTGCCCAGTCACAAATGTGAAATGGGGGGGACTACATAAATTAAACAAACAAACAAAATGTGTGAAGTTGCCTAGAAGCCTTCATCTAATAATGTGTTACCTCTTTTTTCTTTGTCATCAGCATCTAGAGCAAAGAACATGATAAAAACAGGAAGAGTGGAATTAAATTTAATAGGATTAGAAATGTGTAGTTGTTTCATTTTTTAAAAAAAATATGCTTTAACCAGATGTATTTTGTGGTAACTCTTTTGCAATGTAGCATTACAATTATTATTATTATTATTATTATTATTATTATTATTTAACAATTGTCGATAAGAAAGACAAAAAAGTCTGGATAATGGACGTGGCAGTGCCTGGAGACAGCAGAATAGATGAGAAAGAACTGGAGAAGATAACAAAATACAAAGATCTAGAAATAGAAATAGAAAGACTGTGGCAAAAGCAAGCAAGGGTAGTACCAATAGTAATAGGCTCCTTGGGTGCAGTCCCAAAACAACTGGAGCACCACTTGAACACCATTGGCATTGACAAATTCGCTATTAGTCAATTGCAAAAGGCGGCCTTACTAGGAACTGCTTCCATCCTGCGACGATATCTGTAATACCATCCAACATCCACATCTGCCTATCCCAGGTCCTGAGTAAGGACTCGATAGGTAGACAAAATGCCAAATCCAGTCTGAACATCTGGCTGACTGTGCGATGATCCATAATAATAATAATAAAAGTTGAAAGGGACCTTGGAGGTCATTGAGTCTAACCCCCTGCTCAGGCAGGAAACCCTACACCATTTCGGACAGATGGCTGTCCAGTCTCTTTTTAAAGACTTCCAGTGCTGGAACATTCACTGCTTCTGGAGGCAGGTTGTTCCACTGGTTAATTGTTCTAACTGTCAGGAAGTTTCTCATTAGTTAGTTAGTTAGTTAGTCAGTCAGTCAGTCAGTCAGTCAGTCAGTCAGGCTTGAAAGTTATAAAACCTATGGTCAGGTTAATCTGGGAGTCTGAAAACAGTGTAACTGTTTATTCTTGTTCCCCTTTTAAATCTGCAGCTCAGTATTTTGCAAGCATCATGGTCATTGTTGGTTTATCTGTCGTAGTAACAGTCTTGGTGCTTCAGTTTCATCATCACGACCCTCAAGCAGGAAAGATGCCTCAGTGGGTAAGTGACTACTACACATCAGCCTTCATAAACAGCAATACCTTTTGTATTTCATCACTTAGACAATGCTAGAAAGAACAGATGATTTTAAGGATACGATACTAATTCTCACTTCTCACATTGGTGTATGCTGAGCCTGCAGGGTTTATGACTGACCAAGCAGGAGACTTTTCATCTTTTCTTTTTCTTTTTTCAAAAAACCCCAGTATTTTTATTTCTTTTAATATAGAGAAAAAGAAAAATAAGGAAAAGTGAGTTAACAAAAACAAAAAGTGAGTTAACAAAAACAAGAATACAGAACAGTCTCACACACAGAGAGACTTCTGACTCACCCTTATGGGTGGTTTGTGTCTTCCTCAGTTGTGGGTCCTATACCAGAGGCCTGGGAGTTTGAGGGTTCGTGTAGTATCTTAGCTGTTCTTAGCACTGCACTCTTTTGGACAGAAAGCTCTGATGCTCTTCCTGGGATCTGTTGGAATCACTCTCCCAGCTTAGAGGTCACAGTCCCAAGTGCTCCTACTACCACTGGGACTACCACGATCTTTATTTTCCTCATCCAGTCTAGTTTCTCCTTCAGGGCCTGATACTTCTCCAGCTTTTGGAACTCCTTCTTCCTCATGTTATTGTCACTTGGCACTGCTGCATCTATCACCTGTTCTTCAGTGTGACCTTCTGTGGAATCCCCCATATGGACCTGTAAGAATCTCGTTCCTATATTGTGCATCTCAGTTTCAGTTCTTAGTTTATAATCGTGTGGACCCTGTTGCACAGTTACTTTCCATCTTGAAAAATATGTTTTAATTTACAGAAGCATCTATATCAAAAGATCAGTAGAAAAAGAATTGTTCTCAACAAAATTCCACTTTGTAAATTGTAAAACATCAGTTTTACCAGCATAAGTCTTCATTGCACTTGAACTTTGGCCTATTTCTTTAAAATTGGCCATCTAACTACAAGCCCTTGCTTCTGTTTTGCTAAATGTACGCACCTCTGAATTCAGTTCAAGTCTTTCCCACAACATGAGTGTCTTCGTGTATGGTATTTTTCTGAAATGTTTTCTTGTCTTTTTTAAGTCTACAGTTTTAAATATCCTGATGAGTTTCAGTTTCAATAACCAGACCTAACTCTGCATAGAATCAGCTATGGTCAACTTAAAGCAGTAAAAAGAAATGTTTTTCCTTAGTCTTTGGCATTTCAGTCATCAGTGGCACCTTCTTTTAAAGTTTCTGATTTTTTTTCCTGTTTTCTCATTGTATGCCTTTTTGAAATAATGCATCATCCTGTATCGTATTTCACTTTTGCCCCTCCACTGAAAAAATCCCTCCATATGTAAACATTCTAAAATGTAATTGTTAAACATTAAATATTTATCATCAGGAGCATATTATTTCTTCTTTATACTTCTTAAAAATTCCCTGTTTTTCTGCATTCACCGCTTCTGGAGGCAGGTTGTTCCACTGGTTAATTGTTCTAACTGTCAGGAAGTTTCTCCTTAGTTCTAGGTTGCTTCTTGTCCTGCCTTCAAGCGCTTTGGAGAATAGCTTGACTCCCTCTTCTTTGTGGCAGCACCTGAGATTTTGGAACACTGCTATCAAATTCATCCTTCGTTCTTCTCTTCATTAAACTAGACATACCCAATTCCAGCAACCATTCTTTATATGTTTTAGCCTCCAGTCCTCTAATCATCTTTGTTACTCTTTCTTCTCTGTACTCTTTCTAGAGTCTGAACATCTTTTTTTACATCGTGGTGACCAAACCTGGATGCAGTATTCTAAGTGTGGCCTTACCAAGGCATTGTAAAGTGGTATTAATACTTCACGTGATCTTGATTCTATCCCCTCTGTTAATGCAGCCTAGCACTGTGTTGGCTTTTTTGGCAGCTGCAGCACACTGCTGGCTCATATTTAAGTGATTATCCACCAGAACTCCAAGATCCCTTTCACAGTTACTACTATTGAGCAAGGTACCCCCTATTCTATACCTGTGCGTTTGGTTTTTCTTGCCTAAATGTAGAACCTTACTTTTTTCACCATTGAATTTCATTTTGTTAGATAGCACCTAGTGTTCAAGTCTGTTCAGATCCTCCTGTATCTTATGCCTGTCTTCTGGAGTGTTGGCTATTAAAAAGGCTCCATTGGTGTCTTGGGAGCTAAACCTTGTGGTGTAATAAAACATCGCAGGCAGAAGTGCTAGAATTATTCCTTTACATTTCTACTACAGAATACTTTGTGAGATCTGCTTGTTGCAGTAATCCGAGTAATAATTCTAAGACATGTTCTCCAGCTGTACAATTGTTTTCCACCTTGCAGATATTCTCATACAGTTCAAGAACTGTTTAGAGCATTCTCAGTGGCAGAGATATTAGTTTTCCTAAAAGCTACCCAACTAAAGCCACAGTTAAAACAGACTTTGAATTAGATACTTTGCCGAATATTTTTCACTAAACAAATACAAGGTAGTCCTTGGTTTACAACAATTTGATTCAGAGTTATGACGGCACTGAAAAGAAGTGACTTATGACCCATCCTCAAAGGTGTGACTGTCACCCCACCCCACACAGTCACATGATTATGATTTCAGCACTTGGAACCAGCTCACATTTATGACAATTGCAGCATCATGCAGTTGTGATTTGCGACTTTCCCAGTCATCTCCCAACAAGCAAAGTCAGTGGGGGAAGCCGCATTCGCACTATAAGTGTATGATTTGCTTAATGGCCAGTGACTTGCTTAATGATCACAATAAAAATGGTCATAAAGTTGGGCCTGGTCTTGTAATGACTCAATGACCTCGTTGCACAGCGATCAAAATTTCTGTCCCAATTGTGATCATAAGTCGAGGACTACCTGTACAAGAGTGTTACCCTTTTCATGTCGGAAGCTGGTTCAAAGTTCTTAGGGATTTTTCTGCCCAACAATTAGAGTAAAATAGGACATGATAGAGAAATAAATGAAAACGTTTTGACTGGTTGTGTCAAAATAGCGGTTGGTCTTTTCCCATTCGTTACATTTAACAGGCTTAGCAATCGCTTTCAATCAAATTAAACTTCTTCAACTTCAATAAATGCAACTTTCCAGTGATTGGATTCTTGGCAAATGTTAATTTCTTGGGAGCAATCACATTCTTCCTAAAGCTATCTGTAAGCCTTATTATGAAGGATTATAGGTATCTTTAAGAAAAAATCTGTTTCTGCGGCAAGGATAAAACAGCGATTTTGTGAAAATACCTGAGGTGGTTTTTTTCCCCCAGATGAACGGCTTAAGGCTAGAGAGGAAGGGCTGGAGGAGGCAAATAATTGAAAAATGACTTTGTCCAAGATCTTTGTAATGAGTTGCTATGCTTCATATAGCAATGTACCAAACGGCAATATCCTTTGTGAACCACGTTCCCCCCCCCCCCCGGCTCTCTTTATGCAAGACCTCCACGAAGGGCACTGAGAGTTTGTCTTTTTCAGGTCCGTGTCATCTTGCTGAACTGGTGCGCTTGGTTTCTCAGAATGAAAAAACCAGGGGAGAACATCCGGCCTCTCTCTTGCCGATACGGCCACTCGAGGCACCAGTCCAGTGTCAGCAGTGTAGAGATGAACATCTTACCAGGACACCATTCTAGCAATGGCAACATGATCTATAGCTACCATGCCATGGAAAATCCCTTCTGCCCACAGAATAATGAGATGGACACCAAGGGCGGAAAGGACCAGAGCTCTTTGCCTGAAGATAATGACAGCACTCAGAGAAAAGTTTTAATGGACGCCATCCCAGTGATTGTGAAAATCCTGGAAGAAGTTCAGTTCATTGCAGCCCGTTTCCGGAAACAGGATGAAGGGGAAGAGGTCTGCAGCGAGTGGAAGTTCGCAGCTGCTGTCATAGACAGATTGTGCCTGGTGGCATTTTCACTTTTTGCCATCATCTGCACGCTTACAATTCTCGTGTCCGCTCCGAATTTTATTGAAGCTGTTACAAAAGATTTTACATAAGGCTCTCCGAGATGAGTAGAAAAATGCTCCGTGTAATTGGAAATTATGAAATGGTGCCATTAATTTTGAAGAACAACGAGACTTTCTGTGCTGAATTTGGTATTTAAAACAAAGAAGTCGGCACGGGTTTCAAATTCCAATTGTTTCCCCGGTGTTAGATATTCTAGATACAGAATTGGCTCTGTTACTTGTTATTTGTTTCAAATAGTGTCTTCTCCCTATACCTGTGATCATAATCACCAATAATATTAGACAAGAAATCAGACACACAGCATACACTTTGCTGAGTAAATAGAACATATACTGTATATGCTACTAGGAAACACTAGTGAACATGTTGCTGCATTGGTAAATTCTTCCTAGAAACATGATCTTTGCTAAATGTATCATTTTCAATATTTTTGTTTGGCATCGTTGTTTAACACAGATTTCATCTACAGTAATGTATTGAATAATGCTGTCAGTAGCTGTTTGCCAAATAAACGGCAAGTTTTAGCTTTTATTATCACTGTGATAATCTGAAACATTTTCCACTTGATAACAATGTGAAGTCAATGCAATACTTTTTTCTAATAAGTTAAAAATGTTTTCATTGTTGAATATTCTGTTTTTCTATTACATAAATTACACCCTTTCCCTAATCTGCAGCTGCAGCTGCTCACTTATTATCTTTGTCTTTGAATGTATGTCTGAACATCTCCAATGTCCTTAAATTGCATTTACCATATTGATTTTAATTTTCTTACAATTGATATATACCACAACCCCAAACGTGCACAGAAAGCAGCACGTTTCACTTATTACTGACAACTATTGATAGAAATCAGAGATATAGTCCGATGAGCAAAATTAATGCACATCAAAGCAAGATTCAGTTTTTCTGCACTATATTGCTTTGAATGGAATACACATTCCACTCACGCGTAACTGCACATTAAAACTTGGGCATGACTACTTGAATTGTAGTTTTTACCTTCTACAGCAAAAATTATAAAGTTTTTTTTCCATAGAATAAAAAGATTCAAGAGTCTCAGAAGCCTATAAGATCACAGAAAGATGTTGTTACTCTAACTCCCCCCCCCCCAATTGACACCACGGTTAATGAATAAAGGATTTTTCCCTGATTTTTTCCATTCATTAAGACCATGGGTTTTGTTTGTTTTTTTTACAATAAGTCTTCAGGATTGAAATAGTGATTTGCCAAATGCAGATAATCGCACCATACATTAAACTCACCCAAGATCACAATTTGTACCCATCAACTCTTGGAAGTATACAATGTAAAATTTTCCAATTGTTTGCAAGCTGCCAAATTGTGATGATAGCTTTCCCCAATAATTATTTCATGTAGAAAGGTTCGAGAGAAACCGAGGAAGGACGTATGACATTTTACAGATAAAACAGAAGCAGCCAAGACCATTGGTTTTTTTTTTAAAGGATCTTCTTTTATAATCAGATTGCATTTACAAAGAAAATGAAATAAAAAGACTAAAAGGATAAAATTCACAATAAGATAATAATTTGATACAAAACATGCACTTTTTTGACATTTTTTAAAAACAGCTGTATTACTGATGCAACAATCCATGTAATCTGCCTATGAATACATGCAAAGGAATGGAGAGAAATGAAAAGTGAATATTGATTCCTGAATATTAAAACCAAGTTGAAGAGAAGTATGGCCTTCTGACAATGTGTTTATGCAGGGATCTATTTCCACAGGCATGACAATGATGGAGTGTTACTATTCCCCACCTGGAATAGAGTCTCAGCATGATGCCAAGGTCTTGCTTGTAGACAGAAACCCTATCCTGCTGATTATTCATTTAGCTGGCAAAGTAATGCAGATCCTTTGGATATCCAGTAGTCGCTTGGTTTTTTTGAAGGAAGTAAGACGGTAACCACAAAATTGGTAGAATGACCTAATTATAAAAAAGAAAAAATTGTTAATGTTTCAAACTCCCCATGTTCCTAAGCTGCCAACCCCCCCCCCCATCGTACACCCAAACCTCAGAATAAGTTCTATACAAAAAGAAAACCAGTATAACTTACTCCTTATATGGTTGAGATAGTTGGGCAACATTTGGGCACTGGTATACTGCTGATGCTAACCAGTTGGCATGCATGTTGACAAAGGGGTACAGATGTGAAAGGAAAAGTTTTTCTCGTCTTGTCAGGAGGAGAGCACTATAAAGAAGGAGCTCATAATACTCTCTTCTTCAATGCAGTATCACGCTTGCCTGAGTCCCCTGCTGATCTGACGACTGCTGACAGTAGGGCATGTGAAGGTGACAGCAAGAACTAAGGGTTGAGAAAGCCATCCAGGCAGACTGCCTTGGAAGCTTAGGGGGTCTGCATGCAGCCCATCAGAGGCCTGGGATTCCAATGAATTGGGTCAACTTGTGTGGGGCTGTGGAATAGGCTGACTTTTCTGGAAAACTGCATACTCTTTTGGCAAAGTACACCTTACTGTGCTTATGTGGTTTCAAAATGCAGGCATCATAAATCAGACACCTGCATGCATCTTTTAGGTTAAATTGTCATTATTCCTCAGATACTTGCATTGATTACGGTGAATCGCAACATAATTGCGACGTGCTCAGATATGGCACACAAGCACACTAAACCATAATGCTTGAAAATCAGGCTCCTGCCATTCTAGGAAATAAGAACTTAATAAAATCATCTTTTAAAATGAACATTTCTTCTGGCCTTTCAACTCAAAAAAATTAAAGGCAAATTCTAATCTGGTAGCAGCAAGTAAGGGCCTGAGTTGCCCTGATCTACTATAGATGATGAGATCAAACCATTTTCTTTAGATGATTTTTCTTTGGGGGATAATAGGAGACAATGGACACATTTAGTGCAAACGATACAAAGATAAATGCACAAAAGTTTGCCAAATTATTTTAAAACAACTACATAGTTGGAATGAAGCTATTTCTAGGCATCTGTTTCTGTATTAATGTCTGGTGACCAGCGGCACTAAATTTTGTCCCTAGTGCTGCATAAAGGTCCCAGTCTGGATCAGATGTGACAATAAATCTTTGTGGGATCAGGTGAAAATAAACATGCCACAGGAGAACGTTACAAGTTGGAAGATAGGGCTTTAACTAAAGAAGTTTAAAACAATTTATTCATTAGTTGAAATACTAAAAATTTGCTATTTATTTTCTCTTCACTGCTGATAAGGAATTCAGCCAACAGGCAACAAAGCACTCAGAACTTGAGTCTGTTAAGCTGGCCATAAACGATTTTCTTAATACTTTCATTTAAGAAGGCCTTTAGTTCATATGACATACTATACCTATGAACGATTTATGTGTTCTACCAGTAGTGTAATAAAGGAAGCAAGCATATAGAAATCAGCAAAACAATCAACCAAACAATCTGTGATGGTTCATCAGCTGTGCTACTCACTTCTTTTGAGTTGAGCTGAAACAGAATTTAGCAACAGATGTCATATCCTTATATACTGTTCAGCTTCAATGGAGTGGAATGCCCCCAACACATCACTATTCATCTCCCTATTCAAATTACCTGGAGTTTTTCACTTCCACTTTCTCATTCATAATTCTAGGGAAAAATATCTATGAAACTGTCAGGAAGCTGGAACATCAGCCCACATTCATTGACTCATGTGGCATTATCCCCATTTGCCACATCCCCAGAAGCAAATTCACTAATAAACAGCAGGTTTGGCAATCTGCACTCTTATTCCATGAGCTATTTGCAAAGGGGAAGATCTCTTACAGCAAAGCATACATACTTCTTAAGAAAAAAGAGTGACATCTGATAACCTGAAATAACTTGATTCTGCATTTTTTGTACCAGATTCCAGATAAAAAAGAAATTATACTTGCTTTTTAGGAAGGATTTATCTACTCCCAGGATCTGGTTCAGGAGTAGGATCCATTCCAAGTACTTTTGAAAACACTTATAAATATTATCGATGTGGCAAATTTCAAGAGTGGGACTTTGGTAACGTAGAGGGTTTCCCTGCATTTTTTTAACATAATAATATCACCTGATCGATAGACAGGACTTTACTCTTATGTTGCCTAGGCCTCTGGCCTTTGATCAAGCTGTTCTTCAGCCTGGATCAGTGGTTCCTTGCAACCTCTTGCACCCTTGAGTTAGATGGGGGATTCTCTGCTACATCTGTCCCAGGATGCCCCTTCAAAGCATCATCTGCCTTGTGGTGTTTGAATAAAAGTCATTTGCTAGGCTGTCATTCATGTATATTTGCCAAGTTGATATTGGATATCTAGTGAATGTTATAGAAAAAAGAATGACCTGTGGTAGACAGAGTTCCTGCTCTAGCTCCTGTTTTGTAGAGGGGCGCATGATACAACAATGGATGGGGCTCGTAATTTTGATGCGGCTCAAAATGAATTACTGGAAGCATTGGGTTCATTTGTCGAGGTAACGCATCTTCTATAACCATTTCATCCTCATCCCAACGACTAGCATCCATAAACATGCCATGGACCAACACCCCATCCTTTGGAGAAGGTAACTGAAAAAAATAAGGTAGAAGGTGGAAGTCAAAGCTGAGCTACTCATTCATTATCGCTATCAAGTTTCTACCTTACCCAGGTACATGTTCTTCAAACATAGCAAAACATTTTAAAAAAAGTATCAGAAATCTACCACAGTACAAGATAAACGTGATGGTTTTATGTAAAGGTACTTCATGTGAATTCAAGTTCTTTGTGGCTGGATAGTCATTGCAGTTGCAGACTTGTAAATACCTTTTCATCCATTGGTAATTCATTTCCAAAGTGGCAGAGTTTTGAAGCTTCTGATACTTGTGTTTGGTCTCTGAAGACAGGAATGACGTTGTAACTAAAACTAAGCTCATCAATCGGCAAGTTATATTTTCGAGCGTGATTCTGAAGAGTTCCTGAGAAATAAAACATGGACCTGGTTCTCTTTTTAAAAACAAATAATCAGTCATTAAAGAACCATTAACAATGCACAGCCACAGAGAAATATGATTAGGGGATAGTTTATTTGATGTTGCACATCTTGACGGCTGCCAGACTGGCGTTTGCACAAAAATGGAAAAACAAAGAAACTCCCACAGAGGAAGAAATACTATACAAAATACTATCTTGTGCTGAAATGGACAGGCTTACGATGGAACTGAAAGATAAAAGTGGATCTGAATACTTTAAAATCTGGGATAAATTTTACTCTTGGTGGGAGTTGAGGAGGACTGTTGGGGTTATAGATTAGCGTCAATATGGAAATGTATATAATTTTAGGCTAACAAATAGAGAAATGAATTAAGTATTGTATAAAAAATATGTATCTACAGAGATAAAGAACTAAATGTAAGAAGAGAAATAACTTGACAGAAATGTTTATACTGGAGTGTTACATCATGTCCAATATTTTCTTTTTTAACTGTATTGTAAATAAAAAACTTTAAAAATATATATAAAAAAACAATGCACAGTAATTCAAACTTAATTTACCCTCACACAGACTCAGAAATATGTTCTATATTTACAAAATCTCTCGGCAAAGTCCAATTCATAGTGTAATCTTCAATATCATAAAAAATATTTTTATAGAGCACTGCTTTATTATAATACCCTACTATTCCAAGCCATCTTTTTTTTTAAAGGCAACCTTATCATTTTGAACAATTATTATGGCCCTAATGTATTGCTTTACTTCCAAGTACCATACTGACATTTTTATTATTTTTATTGCTTTTGTTAGTTCAGAATAATAACCTAAAGGGAAAAAAAACTTCCTATTAAATTATGAGAGGGTTTAAAGAACTCCTTTTTGAAAGCCAGGCAGTGCATGATTTCTACTGTATTGCAGAGCGCCTGTTTAACCCCTGTATTTTCCAATCCACACTGAAACGATTTCACTTATTCTAGAGGCAATAGATTATAAGTTATATGGTTTGTAGGGTGTTTTGCTGCCAGATCTTAGAACAGTGGTTCTCAACCTTTTTAATGCCGCGACCCCCAACCGGTCATAAGTCGAGGACTACTCAACCGGGCGTAAATCGAGGACTACTCAATTGTTGCAGCACCGTTTGCAGAATGGGACTTTTGGCGGGCTCAGCAGGGCAGAGACAGCCTGGACAATTCCTATTGGCTTTCAAGAGAGTCTATTCAAGAGAGTCTATTCTATTGGCTTTCAAAAGCCAATAGAATAAAAGGGAGTAGCACAGCTAAGAAAAAGGGGAAAAAATGGCGGACTGCGTTGTTTGGCAACCCCCGTGAAATGGTCGTTCGACCCCAAATGGGATCCCGACCCACAGGTTGAGAACCACTGTCTTAGAACCACAGAAACGTGGTTAATAGGAATTGATGCGCAAGATTAATATAAAGAGCACTGCCTATTTATGTTAGCAAACTGCTTCTGACTATGAATTTATTTTCAAAATTGAGAAGAAGGAAAGGGCAGTCTGTTCTATATCACCCACTGCCTAAAACAGCATTTGATAAAAATGGTGCTTCAGGTTCCTTCTCTTCTGGATATTCTATTTCAACATTATCTTCCGTACGCTATTCACATCTCCCCCACCCCTGCTCTTCTTCACTCCAGTTACAGCAGCAACAGGGGACTGGAGTTATTTAGGAAAACTATTGGCTCCAAATTTATTGGCATGTTGCATCAGCACAATGAGCAACATGCTTTCAGGATACTAATCTGGTGGCTTTATAGCTTCTTCCTTTTAATAACAGCTTTATTTCCTTTTTGCACAGATTCAACCACAAAGGGAGTTTTGGGGGGGGCTGCATACCCTGCAGGCGGGACACTGACTTTTTCTTACTGATCAGCTGATGGAAGAAGAGTGACTGGTTCCCATTACACCCTGGCTGCGCTTGGTTTTTAGAAGCCAGCAGCAGTGAAGAGAATTCTGCAGCCAACTTAAAAATGGTTTGAAGGGATTGGGAAATGGAAACAGTGCCCTGTGAATTTGATCCCAATCAATCAGCTAACAATAAAGCGACTTGGCAGGCTATTCTGAGCATCTGAAACCAAAAGCGAGACAAACAACTGAGCAATTGGTTTCCCACCCTTTTGTGGGCATGCTACCGTTTAAAACATACATAGGTGACATTGGAGACAGCGAAATTTTGTTGGAATGTTTACCAGTCAAAAATCCTTGTGGAAAAAAGAAACCAGAAATCCAAAATGATTTAGGTTGACCTCTTTTGAGCCAGAACTGAAAAAAAAAAAAGTTGATATACGTTAGGCATAAAACCCGACATTCCATTTAACTTATTAAACAACGGATTGCTGTTATTTTATTTGCAGAGAGGGGAAGAACTGAACTGGGTTTGCCAGGGTTTTACTTTTCCATCTAAATGGATATGGCTTCATTATGCTTGGTCTTAATCCAGGAAATCTTCGGTGCTGCAGAATGACAACATTTGAAGTTCTCCCAGACCAGGGGTAGGCAACCTTGGCTCTTTTATGACTCGTGGACTTCAACTCCCAGAATTCCTGAGCCAGCTGTGCTCAGGAATTCTGGGAGTTGAAGTCCACGAGTCATAAAAGAGCCAAGGTTGCCTACCCCTGTCCCAGACAGAATGAAGCTCAGGGCTTCTCTCACACAGATCAGAAACTGGAGGATATGAGGAGTCACTCTTGGCATCTGCCTTAGTTTTTGTCCGTCACCATTTTGGGTGCTTAGTGGGAAGCACTAAGGGTAAAATATATCATCTCTTTTCTTTACTTCCAATTTTCTTGATTATATTATTGGTTTAAGATTGGAACTCAGTCAAAACAGCCATGAGTACTTTGCACAGTGTTTGAAGTTAAAGAGAAATAATGGTTCTGATGCATGGTTGAGGGTCTCCGGATCAGGGTACCTGCATAAAAGCTGATGCACTCAGTTTGTATATACAGCACACCAGCAACGTATTATTTCAAAAATCATAATCATATGGCATAATTATCTTAGAGAAGTGGTAAGTCCAACATCTGATGGCAATGCATTATCAAGCCACAGTAAGGAAGATACCTTTTGGAATTACGAAGGTACATAAAATACCACTGTAAATTTTTGATGACAAAACTGTATCCATTCTGCAAATAATCAGCTAAGCCATTTAGGAAAAGCAATAATGCCATTACTCTCCCGTCTCCATTATTCCCCAAGCCAAGAATGGGGAATATTACCTTCATTCTGCCAAGCATTTTCTCATTAGTTTATTTGCTGCAAGTCATATTTGGCATATTAATTTAAACAAGAGAGAAGCCAACTTGTAATAAATGGAAAGGCAAGCATTTGGCATGGGTTTTAATGTCCTCTCCCTTTTAAAGTGTTTCTTGTCCCCACTTGTTTCCTAATAATGGTGCCTCTGACCTTCATTTTTAACAATTTGAACAGTCTCAGCTGCCTGAAATTGTTACTGTTCCCTGAACTAATTTCTCTTCCATGGGTTGTATGATTTTTTTTTGCCTGACATACATACTTAATGTGCATATTCTTTCAGAGATGTTTTTTCTGGGCACATTTTTGAGTTGCAAATTGCAGTTTGGTATGCTAATGCATTCACATTTTGCATACACATTTCACAGGCGCTCACTGGCCTGTGTTTAAATGAATTTACCCCACATTTTATCTTTTATGCTAAAATAATCAATGATCTCATGCAGTATTTCTCAACCTTAACCATTTTAAGATGAGTGGACTTCAATTCCCAGAATTCCCCAGCAAGCCATGGAAATTCTGGAAGCTGAAGTCCACTCCTAATAAATAGGTCATTAGTGCTCTAAACTTTTGTGTGTGTGGGAGGAGTTCAAGGAAGCTAAAGAATGAACCTGGGTAGAAATGTCAAATTTACACAAGCACAGAACTTAAGGGAGAATTTTTATAAAATGTTTTATAGATGGCACCTTGATCCACAAAAAATGTCTTATATGTACCCTGACGTGCAACCCAAATGTTGGAGATGTGGTTATAAGGAGGCTTCCTATTATCATATTTGGTGGTCATGCAGAGAGATAAAAGCATTTTGGATCAAAGTATGGTGGAATATCCAGAGAATTTTTAGAAGGAGGGTAAAATTTACTCCGCAATTATTTTTGTTAGGTATTGTTACAGATTGTGATACAAAGGAGGTTGTATTGATGTTAAATTTGATTACAGCCGCTAGGCTGTTAGTAGGACAATATTGGAAGAAGGAATCCTTGCCTACATTGCAGGAATGGTTTCTTAAAGTAGCTTATCTGGCGGAAATGGCAAAGATCTCGGCTTTCTTAAAGCAACAAACGCAAGAGAAGTTTTTTGCTGTTTGGGATAAATGGATAAAATTTATACAATTTAGATTGGGTATACAAAAATATTATATAGTTTTTTCATAAGTTTTATTTTTATATATATTATAGATAATCTTTTTATATATATAAATATAAAGTTCTTAATTTAATTTTTATTTTTACTTTTTAAGCCTATATTCTGCTCTGGGAAGCTCAGAGGGGGGGGGGAAGGGAGGGGGGGTTTTTTGGGAGGGGTGGGTTTTTTTTTTTTTATATGTATTGTTTAGTTTTATTTTTTTGTATATGTTGTCTCTTGTTTTGTATTCTTTTTTCTTTTTTGTAAAATTTATAAAACTTTTAATAATAATAAAAAAAAAGAATGAACCTGGGTTACATCCTTTTTTAACTTTCCTAAAATCTCTTACATCTGAAACATAACCTAAATCAGTGATGGCGAACCTTTTAGAGACCGAGTGTCCAAACTGCAACCCAAAACTCACTTATGCATCGTTGGGTGCCGGGTGGGTGTGGCCCATTGGGTGGGTGTGGCCCATTGGGTGGGCATGGCTGCGGTGGTAACAGCAGACTGGGTGGGACTAAAAAGTTCAATCAATCAATTCCAACTTTGCAAGATCTTTTTTTCCCCGCGGGAAGTTGAAATTGACTGATTGATTGAACCTTTTTTTTGTACACGGCGGCGGAGGCCTAAAGCGAAAAGGTTTTATAAAACCCAGCTGAAGGCCTAGGACTGCGGCAACAGTGCGAGTGCCCACAGAGAGGGCTCTGAGTGCTGCCTCTGGCACCCGTGCCATAGGTTCGCCACCACTGACCTAAATTATAGATCATCAGTACACTGCACACCTATGAGTAGCATTTCTACTTACATCTATGAAGCTTGTCCTGAGCACAAGGTCTTTCACCCAGGCCCCCAAAGGTTTCAGAGAGGGATAGGCGGCATTGGCCCAGAGGGTTGGAACCTGATTGTTAAGAAAGCTGTGGTACACTCTCTCCATTTCTTCGGACATGACTACAAACCCCGCAATGGCTTTGTTGAGTGTTTGTAGAGAGCTCTGAAAGTTGAACAACAACACTGTACTTTAATCTTCTGCGGAGAGGAAAGGAATATAACAGCAATCTTATCTTCTCCAAGCAGTTGTATTGCCAGTTCTCTCGCTCTCACCTTAGCTTCAATGATCTAATGCAATGTTTCTCAACCTCAGCAACAGCTGAGAAACAGTGCATTAAACAGATGAGCACGGCCGGCTGGGGAATTCTGGGAACTGAAGTCCACTCATCTTAAAGTTGCTAAATTGAGAAACGCTGATCTAATGATCCTACAAATCCAAGCAGGTAGAAGGGAAGATCACTGATAAAATCTCAATGGTGCTGCAACAATGTTTGCTGAAGCTGTCTATACAACACAGGGAAGTTGCCTTCACATCTTCCACCACATTCTTACCAGTACCCTTGCCTAACTGTAATAAGGAGCTTCGCAGTGATACACTGCAGAGCAGGGGTCTTCAAGCTTGGCCCTTTTATGACTCATGGACTTCAACTCCCAGAATTCCTCAGCCAGCGTGACTGGCTGAGGAATTCTGGGAGCTGAAGTCGATGAGTCATAAAAGGGCCGAGTTTGAAGACCCCTGCTGTAGAGATTATGCAGGTGTTCCACTTTCCAAATGTTTTTGGCCTGTCTCCTTTTCTCCTCTTCCTCTGAGAGTAATTTAAACGTCATTATAAGGCAAATGGGGGGGGAGGGGAGGGAATGGAAGAGGCAGAGAAAGAAATCCTTGAACTGATGTGGCTGTCTAGATAGGGCAGCTATTACATTGTGTGTGTGAATATTCATTCCATTTCTCAGTTAAAAATGAAAATTATCGAGTAATTTATAATATTTTACTAAAAATGGAGCAGTATAACTAAGGCATAAATAAGATGCTATTAAAACCAAAATATATTCAGATAATTTACCACTGGTCTTTCAGGAAAAATCCTCAGGGTTGTGTACAGTTAAAATAAATTTTAAAAAAATTCTGCACAAAATAATATATAACAAGCTAAGGCAAAGGATGAGCATACAGAATCAAGCATCAAACAATGATGAGCTCAAACAAAGCCATCCTTCTTACACTCTTAATCTGAATTGATTTGTTTGAAAATTAGCTCCAACGACATCAATTAAAATCTTCTTCAGATTGATTTTTCTACTTTGATCATCTACTTTATATTATCTATGTTTATAAGAGGGTTTCCCAACAGTTTTTATACCCGTTTCACAAATAAATGGAAACTATTTACCATATTTGTTTGAAAAGATAAAAATGCAACTATCTTGTCTTAACCACCTTCAACTAAAGGAAGCCAGGAAAACTAACCTGGTGTGACCAATGTTCTGAGAAATAAGGATGAAATTTTTCTGTCAGTAAAAGTATATGCCTGTGAAAATAGTGAGGTAATTCCTGGAACTGTTTTCCCGATTTGTCACTCTCTTTCTACAAGGTTAATGCCTTCTTTCCAATGATGTTGATATTCTTGCATTCTATGAAAGCCACATTTCTCCCATGCAGCCCTCATAACAATCTTTATTAGCCAGAAATTATTTCATGCTGCAATAGGAGTGGGAGGGGCTTCTGACTTCCTGCTCGCTTCCCAAATGACTTTGTTGTGGGAAGCTGGCAGAGAGTGTTGGAAATCATGATCACATGACCGTAACTGACTACAGCGATGCTGCAGCAGCCACAACTTTGTGAATACAACTGGTGTGAAGATCTTTGAAATTCCAATTATACACAAGTTCTGGATTTTGTAGCAAAATCTCTAAATCAGAGAATTTGAGATATAGATAATCCTTGACGTACAACTATTTGTTTAGCAACTGTTCAAAGTCCAAACAGCAGTGGAAAAACAACCAGGACTCACACAGAGAATCGTTGCATTGTGCCTATGATCACGTGATCAAAATTCAGCTGCTTGGCAACCAGCATGTATTTACAGCAGATGTTGCATCCTGTGATCCTACAATTGCCTTTTGTGACTTCCCAGCTGGCTTCTGACAAGCAAAGCCAATAGGGGAAGCCAGATTCACTTCATGATTGCATGTGAATAACAACCAGGGCAAAAATGTCACAAAATTGGCTGCCACTCATAGAACAATTGCCTTGCTTAGCAACAGAAATTCTGGACCTTATTGTGGTCATAAGTCAACGACTCCCTGTACCATGATTCAAAAATTGTTCTGTTATGAAGCATCATTTGGCCTAATGGAAGGTTACAAACAGACAGGAGAACTTTAGTACCATATAAATTAAAGTATATCACATGGTTGTTAAGTATATCAGCTGTTAAGTATATCACATAGTTGTTAAGGAATTCAACTCCCTTCCCCCCTTGTCTTTGCTAATTGGAAGTCAGCTGGGAAGGCTGCAGTAACAATCACGTGACCTTGGGAGGTTGCAACCATTGTAAATCCGTGCCAGTTGCCCCAAGCACCTGAAGTTGGATCATGTGACCACAGGGACATTGTGACCGTCATTAGTGCAAAGGTCGGTTATTAAGTCATTTTTTTCCAGTGCTGCCGTAACTTTGAATGATCACTAAATGAATGGTTGCAAATAAAGGATTATCTGTAATGCCATATATAGTGAAAGGAATAACACAGACATTAGGCTAAATTAGGCTTGCTAAGTCACAGTGATGTCATAGATATTATTTAGCAACACTCAGTCTTACATATTCTGCCTGCCTGCCTGCCTGCCTGCCTATCTATCTATCTATCTATCTATCTATCTATCTATCTATCTATCTATCTATCTAGCCAGACATGTCATGCGTAAGCCGCGCCCACCCCATTGCCAGCAATAGCAAAATAGTCCCGATACGTCATGCGACATCGCGAGTTTGACATGTCTGATCTAATTTCATATTTCTTAGCTGCCCATCCCTCTCAGAGAATATGTTTGCTTTCCAATAGAAAGTATCTCTAGTTTCTCTGCAAAGAGTATTTCTGCTTTCCACTTTATTTACTTTTTTGGTAGAATGGAAGAACGATAGAACACATTAGAGAAACATTTTGATTTAAATCCCTGGTTCTTAGTGCATGGTAGTCTTAATATAAATTCAACAAATTCATAACTTCAGCATTTATTCCATTGACTAAGAAATGTATGTTTTTATACCCTCAGCAGACTGAGAAGGTTATTAAAACGATCCACTTCTTGCCCAAGGACCGTAGTTAAAGAATCTATTCGACTTTTGCTATCCCTCGCAAAAAGTACCTCCGCAGCAAGGTCCATGTCCAGTTTTTCTGCAAAACAACAATATTGTTTTCATCTTTTAGAAAGCTAGGCACCACACATTTAAAACATACACTGATGGCTACTAGCTGATTTGAGGAGAGATTCGTGGGCCAGCAGGAAATATAAGGCTGTGCTCAACAACTAAGATTTTACACCAACTTAGAAACCCAGGAATTTACTTTTATTGTTAAGAAGCTTTGACAACAAAAGAGATGCTGGTCATGGTGATGGCTAAGCATCTAATCCCCAGGTTCTCTTAAATTTACTGCCAGCCTTCCTAAAGGGAATCATTTAATGGCACTGCATAAAAGCATAGAACAACTGGGAATTAGTCTTCCTGGCGTTGGTTTTGACTTCTTAATCTCCCCCTCAGCCAGAGGTGGTGGGATTCAAATATGTGAACAACTGGTTCTCTGTGTGGATGCTGCTTCTGGACGTCCATTCTGGGCCTGGGCAACAAAAAATTAGCTACCGGTTTTGCCGAAGTGGTGCGAACCGGCTGACTCCCACCACTGAGAATGTTGCACTCCAGTAGGAAATAGGCCATGCCTTTGAGGACATTCCAGGGCGCCAACTTCACACACCACAGCAGAGATCCACATCAAATTGTTTTACGAGATAATATATCAATCAGGGAAGGATGACAACCATAATTTTTCATAGTGGGTAGTACTAAAATCAAATCAAATAATAAAACAAAATAAAATAATCTTCCCAGATTTTCCAAGACTTGGCAGGCTAAAAAAACATGATGCTTCTCCCATACTTTCAGTATGAAAGAGAGCAATCCTGAATTTAAAGCAGCTGATATCCTTTCAAGGAAATGAAGATTAAAAAAAAATAAAATCCTGTGTCCTGGCAATGTAAGCTTCCCTTTGGCAGACTCAGAGGATCTTAAAATGCTAAAATACAGTTTCTACTTCTAACAATAATGATGACACTTTTCTACATTCTATAAATTTCAGCTAAAATTAACTCTATGTATACAAGAAAAGAAGGAATCATAAGAAAGACTTTTTTCCCTTCCTCCTGTCAGTTCTGACATTCCCTTAGAATAGTTATTAGTACAAAGTAGTTGGTTAGTTTGTCTTTTAATAAATTGTATAAATGCAGGTGATCTCTTTAAAAAAGTAAGGGAGTTTATTTCAATAAAAGTTAGGCCTTTTGTTGGAAATTTTGAAGTAAACCATTGGAAAATTAGACAAATGAGACAGCTACAGTATAACATCGAACTATATCCAATATGCAACATACTGAGTTAACAAACACTATATCCCCCAAAATTGCTGGATGCAATTGCTAGATACAGCATTTTCCAGATTAAACAAACATCTTTGGAAGAAACTATTAGGTGACTTCCTTTGCTAATGAAACAAAACAAAGGAACAAACCTAAGCATATATTTTAAATGTTCAGACACACTAGCATATTCTGGAAAGCAGTGCAAAATTCTATGAACAGAGTAAATAGGTACAGATTTTATATTTGAATAAACACATACAAGAAGATGCCAAGTGGAGTTCTGGCAAGTGGATTTAAGTTACATTCTGTTTCTGGACTGTACTAACCCAAGTTAGATATTACAATCAGAATAGACAGCCAACTATTTAATTGGGCTGACATTAGCAGGTCTTATCAATTAACTATGTTTTTCTAAATAATTGCTCAGCTCATTAAGAAAATATTTGCAGATATGCACTTAAAAGAATAACTTGCCTCAGTTAAGACCACAGATCATCCCTTCAAAAATGGTTTATCAATAGCAATGTCATTTGTATCCTACGTTATTTATTAAAGGAAGCTAAAATTAAATTAGTTTTAATCTGCATTAAATAAAATCATTATGCTGATTACTGCTTATTGTCTTATAGCAACTCTATTTCAGAATCTGCAGAACAGAACCATACAAACCACAAATGCCCTGACAAGCATTTTTCAGGATGAAGATTTTATTTTGTGCATTTCTGAAGCAGTCTTTGCAAAATCCATGGCAAAGTCAGCACAATGTCTATATCATGATTATAGAAACAAGGTACACTCTAAAGAAATGAAGATTATTTTCACTCTACATCCCTATTCTTAGTTGCAAGATGTTTCCTGAAACAATTGTCATGTTTTTAGTTTCAGTTTATTTTCTCAATATTAAACATGAAGCACAAAAGAAACAAATTAATTCTGTGTGAACCTTGGGTAGCACAGATTTTACTAAAATAACATGATTTTAGACAGCAGATAAGCGAATTAGATACAAGTTACTTGTTATGTCCCGAGCCTTGCAAACGGCTCGGGCGTTTGCAGGCAGTCCCGGGCAGGTGCAAAGCTGCCCGGGACCAGACAGGCTGTCGCCAGCGCCGTGCGCATGCGCGGGTGCTGGCGCGGGAAAAGTAACCCATTTACCCGGGAGTTGCCTATATAAGAGGCTGTGAGGCGTTTGGCTGAGCTGAAGCCATCTTCCTGTAAGCTGAACGCTGAATAAAAGAACCTGAGAACTCCAGCTGTTTCTCGTGTCTGTTTTCCCGCCAAGGACGCAACACTGGCGACGAGGATGGGATGCCTTGCACTACCTGGAAAGGAAAAAAGTGTAAGCTTACCCAAGGAGTCCTGAGCGGCGGAAGAGGAACGGTGTTGACTCAGCAGCTGCCCGCCAATCCAGTGCGCATTCGGGGGTAGGCTGGCTGATAGACCCGTCTCCTGAAGATCCGAAGATGGCGAAAATCGGAAGGCTTGCTGAATTCGACGTCTCACATCCAGAGCGGTGGGAGTCCTACGTATCCAGAATGGAGAACTACTTCAAGGCAAACCAAGTGAGGGAAGATAGCTTGAAGGCTGCCACCCTGCTTTGCGCTTGCGGCCAAGACGCCTTCGAAATCGCAGAAAACCTTGCAGCCCCTGTTCCAGTAGAGTCTGTAAGCTACGCAGACCTGAAGAAGCTGCTGAAGGACCACTTCCACCCCAAGGTGTCCGTTATCTCATGGCGCCACACCTTCGAGCAGAGGGATCAACGGTCCGGGGAGTCAGCCAAGGAGTACATCGCCGCGTTACGGAAGGCCGCCAAGCCCTGCGAGGTCAAGGACCTCGAGGAACGACTGAGGGACCGATTCGTGTGCGGGTTGAGGCATCGAGAGCTACAACAGAGACTTTTCGCTAAGGAAGAATTATCCTTCCAAGACGCTTTAAGGGAAGCCACCGCGGAAGAAGCAGCAGGCGGCGCCGTCAAGAACATGCGGCCGGTCAGAAGCAGTGCAGAGGGTGCGTCCGTGCACCAAGAAGACGTCCGACGAAACTCCGAGGAGGATCCGGACGAAGAAGTCGACCGTCTACACCCCGCGAAGGGAGAAAATCAGAAGGAAAGCTCTTCAGCTCCGCTCAAGTGCATCGGCTGTGGAGGTCGCCACAGGAGACCCGACTGCAAGTTCCGCTCCGCTACCTGCCGGGCATGCGGCAAACAAGGGCACATTGCAGCTGTGTGTCTGGGCCGACGAAAGGCACAACCTCAAGAAGACCGCCTGAAGGGTACCAGAGTCCCCAGCCAGAATAGGGTAGGTTTTTGCGCTTCGCGTAGAAACATTTGTAGGACAGGCACACACAAGCCCATGAAGAAAAAGCTTTCACTCAACGTGAAGCTACAAGGGGTTCCATTATCTATGGAACTAGACACAGGGTCTGCCCTTTCCATCATTTCATTGCATACATTTAGGAAGATTTGTTCCAGTAGTGGGACTAATGCCAAGTTAAGGCCTTCTGATATTGTATTAACTGATTTTCAGAACTCAAGAGTGTGTGTTAAGGGGGAGGCCACCCTTAACGTGCAATACAAGAGTTTGGAAGGTCCACTAGACTTGTTAGTAGTAGGGGGTGAAAGAACGAGTCTCATAGGACTCGATTGGTTTGAGGCCCTGGGGATACACGTCACAGGACTCAACAGCTTACACACACTCGACCTACAGGAAGTCTGCAAGGAATTTGCAGATGTTTTCAGCCCCCAGCTGGGCACATTCAAAGGACCACCTGTGTCCTTAAAGCTAGACCCCACTGTCACTCCCATTAGGATTAAAGCAAGAAGGGTCCCTTTTGCTTTAAAAAGTTAGATTGACACTGAATTAGACAAACTAATCCAACAAGGAATCCTAGAACCTGTTGATTCCAGCCCATGGGAGACCCCCATTGTCACGCCTCTAAAGGCAAATGGGGACATTCTCATTTGTGCTGATTACAAATGCACACTCAATAAGGCATTGCAGCAACATGCCTATCCTGTTCCTGTGGTCAGTCACATCCTGGCCTCTCTCAAGGGGGGGCGTGTTTTTGCAAAGCTTGACCTAGCTCAAGCATATCAACAGCTGCCTGTTGATTATGATGCTGCCATAGCTCAGACCATTGTGACCCACAGTGGAGCCTTTAAAGTAAAAAGGCTACAGTTTGGAGTAAATGTCGCTCCTGGGATTTTCCAAAGCGTAATGGAACACAACTACGAGGTTACCGGGGTCTGCCCCTACTTGATACGATGTCTTGATTGCAGGAGACTCCACACACATCTAGCTGGAGGCTTAGGGCGGTCCTGTGAAGATTCAGAAATCAGGCTTAAGCTCGAAAAGACAACTGCAAAGATTGGGGTGCCCTTCTACTGAATTCTGGGATTCAAATTGGGCTGCTGGCTCATCCTGCTGAATCCAAACTAACTGCTATTTTAGAAGCACCCAGGCCAAAGTCTAAGGCCGAACTTCAGGCCTTCTTAGGCCTCCTGAATTTCTACAATTCTTTTCTTCCACATAAAGCTAGTGTAGCTGAGCCTCTTCACAGGCTACTAGACAAACAAGCTGTGTGGCTGTGGTCACAAGCACATGAGGCTTGCTTTAAAAAAGTCAAGGCCTTGCTCACTTCTAACAGTGTTCTTGCACATTTCAACGAGTCTCTTCCTGTGTGCATCGCTGGTGATGCATCCCCCTCCGGGGTTGGAGCTGTCCTGAGTCACCTCAGGTCTGATGGAACTCAGGTTCCTATTGCATAC